CTTTGTGACCAACCTTTGTGACCAACCTTTGTGACCAACCTTTGTGAACACAGACTTCAACGACATCGCCAGAAGAACGCGATAGAATGGCGCTGTGCAGCTCAGCGCTTTGGGTGGAGGCAAACTAGGAGGATATACTGTATATATATGATTATATATGAGTCTTACTATATGTGTTCGGTTCTATTTACAGGATTGCAGATTACTCAAGCAAAATGCAAGGCATGGGAGATCCCTATATATATATATATATATACAGCGCTTTGCAGCTCAGGCGCTTTGGGTGGAGGCGAACTAGGAGTATTTTATTTACAGGATTGCAATGACTCAAGCAAAACACAAGGCATGAAAGATCCCTATATAGGCAGTGGTGCTGATACTCCTGCTCGCATTATATATATATATGTGAATTGTGATGAGCACATGGTCGGACGCCATGTCTAGCGGAACCTTTAGGCTGGAGCGTAGAAAGGCGCCGCTGCGATGCCCCTGGTGGGGCGACCGCACCGACATTGGTAGCGGAGCCCCACCAGGGGCTCGCAGTGAGTGTCACTAGGTAGTGCACCCGCTGCCATGAGTGAAGACAAGGGTCATCGCCGCTTTGACGGTGAGGGCGATGACCCGGGTAAGGCGTTGAAAAAGTGGAAGACATGGGCCCAGGCCAAACTGGTTACGTTGAAAGACATCAAACCTGAACAAAGGGGGCCATGGATCCTGACGCTTCTAGATGGTCGTGCCTGGGATGCTTGTGAGCACCTGACCTTAGACGACCTTGCAGTGTCAGGTGGTGACAAAAAGATCTGGGAAGTGTTGCAGAAACGATTTCCAGAAAAAGAGGCTCATGACTTGCTAGGAGAATCGCTGGGCGAAGTGTTTGCACTGTCAGCCAACGAAGCCGAGTCCATCAAGCAGTGGACGGCTCGAGCTCGAGAAGTGTTTGACAGATGCGAGAGACGAGCGGGAGTGGCTTTTCCAGCTGCCGCTCAGGGCTGGATTACGTTGAACTGTGCAGGCTTGACTGAGGAACAGAAGGCCATAGTGAAGGCCAAGACACAAGGCAGCTTAGACTACGAAGCCGTGGCCGCTGCCATGAGGTCATGTTTTCCTTTGTACAAAGCAACAGCCAGTCGCAGAAAGCCAGTTGGAGCTCTGCAAGTCGACGTTATGACTGACGAGTTCGAAGCTGCACCAGAGATGTCCTACACGGACGATGCTTACTTGCAAGAAGTTGAGGCCTTCATCGCCGAACATGAGCACGAGACCACTACAGAAGAGGCTGTGTTCACTGAACAAGAGGCAGCCGAAGCCCTCGCTGTGACTTGGAAAGAGCGTCGCAAGGAGATAGCAAAGGTGCAGAAGAGTCGACAATTCGGTTCTCATGGCACTTCCAAAAGGCAGTTCAAAGTGGAAGTAGAAGAGCTGAAAAGGCGAACCAAATGCAATCGCTGTGGCAAAGTAGGCCACTGGGCCAGAGAGTGCAGGCAGCCACCAAGTGCGAAAGAAGCTTCTTCTTCGAGCACTCCTCCCATGGCAGCCAACTATGTTGAGAGCTCAGAGCCAACCACTGAGGCTGGATATGGAGTGGAGCCAACCTTTGTGGGACACGTGATGACCACGGTGTTTAGCGCTGGCCTGATTTCCTCACCGGGCTTTGGAGTACTGGACAGTGGGTGCGGACGCACCCTGATCGGAGAAGAAACTCTCAAACAGCTTGAACCCGTGATCAAGGCTCGAGGGTTTGGTTCTGTGCAGTACTATGAGTCTGAGAATGTGTTCAGGTTCGGAAATGGAGCAACGGAAGTGGCAAAACGTGCATGCCGCTTACCTGTCGGGATCGCAAACAAGTTTGGCTTGATTGACGCAGCCATTATTGCGGGCTCAGCTCCTCTTTTGCTTGGACGACCAACGTTGGAAAAGATGGCTGTGAAACTGGATTTCGCTCAAGGACAGATGGAGCTTCTCGGCTGCACGACCGATCTCAAGACCAATGAGGCTGGTCAGCTGCTGGTGGATGTCCTAGCATATCCAGCGAGAGAAACAGCTACCCCGAAGCCTCGCGGTAATCAACACGACAGAGACACAGCTCGTTCCACAAAGGACGACCAGCAGAAGGTTGAACAGAAGGCGCAGGGCTCAAGTCAAAAACAGAAGACAAAAATCACACTGAAAAAGAA